ATTTATATATATAATTTAAAACAAATTAAAAGCCTAATCTCGATGTTTACAAATCCTGATCCAGATCTTAATATTCTGGATTTGAACGGATCCAAATCTCATATGCACCACTAGGATCTACATCTGAATCTAGTGGATCTGGAACCCGATATGAAAAATTCCCACCCCTATATGCATCCAATTCAAAATTCGTGTAGGGGTGGTAATAGGCCCGTTGAATAATCCGCCCAGCCTTAAAAAAAACTAAGGCCTGGGAAAAAATAAGTGGCCTGAGGGCCAGGTCAAGATCTGCCAAGCCCTCCCTAGCCTTTTATTGCTGCTTTTTTTTTATATATTATGTTTTTTTTTTTTATCTTGTTATCAGCCCTAATTCATTGTTTTAAATTGAAAATAGTAGGAGCTAACCTGATTCCCAATTGGAATGGGAATGTGTATCTAAATCGCCCATATTGCCTGTTTCCCACCCATTTTAGTTTCAATTTTTAATTAAATTGGTCAACAAAAATTAACAATTTAAGACTTTACCTAATTTTTTAAATTCAATTTCAAAACACCTAAAGAAAATCATATAATATTGAGTTTGAATAGTTTAAAAAAGTGAAAATATTGATTAGTTATAGAGGTATTTTGATAAGGGTAAAATGGATGTTTCTATAAAAAAAATAGTGACATTCTATTAATCATTAAAAAAAAATTAATTCATTTTGTGGATAATGTCACACACCATGTTGGTGATGTTATTGTTCACTATTATTAATAAATTTTTTATTTCTATTACAATTTTTTACTTTACTCTTGACTAATTACTTAAAATACCTGTAGTCAAAAAGTTACTACACTATAAAATAAAGGTATCTACATGTCCAAAAATGTTAAGGATACGAGAATACACTACTAAGTAGTGTAGCCTAACAAAACCCTTTCTAAAAATTTTAAAATCAAATTTATTAATAAATCTTTTGGAACCAAAATCTTATATATAAAACTTGTTCAATTCACTAACCATAATTACCCAACGTTTGAAAATTCAGCGATGTAGATTAGAATTGCCTTATCCAGATCGAAGATCGTCGACACTACTCCAAATCTTTAATATATTGGGATCCGGCTAGGTCCCCTTAAACCGGCCACATCTCGGACATCCTAGAACCAATTTGAGTGAAGAAACTTAGTAAGTACATTTTTTTTTAAAAAAAAAAAATCTATCAAAATGAAAAGTTTGTGTTACTTCACATGTTGTACTCGTGTGAGCCTAACGCGTTTATACAAAGCTTGTGCTACGCCCGATGTGAGACACTTGGGAGCAATAACACGGCGCTCTGTTGCGCGCCCTCTCTCTCTCTCTTCGCGTGCTGTACTCTCTCTCTCTCTCAAGTTTTGAATAAATTTCATTTTTACTTTAAAGAATTTGGTTCATTTATTCCACCTTAATTTCAAGTTTTTAAAAGAATCCGACAAATGTGTCTATGATATTGTGATACATCATTACATTATTTTCTTTCACTCAAGTCTCCGAATAAATATAGGGCATGGTATGTTTAATAAAATAAAAAAGATCACTAGTTTATAGGGCATCTTTAGTTCATATGCTCACTTCAAAACATCTATTTTCAAGTAGCTCTATCTAATTTCCTTATTGCAAGCATAAATGTCTTTATTTATCTTTTTAATTTCATTAAAATAGGATTGTAAATTCATGTTTCCAAGTACTATATTTATGTTTATAGTAATTATTACACCTTAGATCTGCTTATTTGGCAACATATTTTTTTTATTAGCTGAATCTCATGTAATGGAGCTGATTTTTTTCCTTCGTAATTGTAACCATTTGATGAAACTTTAGACAAAATTTAACAAATATGAAATTTGAGGTTTTTTATAAAAAAAAAATAGAATAGGAAAATAATGTGTTCTAAGAAAGCAAAAATGAACTGTCATAGCTAGCCTTTTTCCCGATTGCCATTTTAATTTAATAAAAACGCAATAGCTCATTGTGAGGGTCATAGCTTCTTTTTTTTATCTATCAAATCAAAAGGTGTGCAGCCATCGTATAATTTCTTCTTTTTTTTTTTACTCTAAAAATTTGAGTTAGAGAGATCTTTATCTAACAAATCAAAAGGTGTTAAGCCATGGTATAATTTCTTCTTTTTTGTTTTACTCTAAAACTTTGAGTCAGAAAGAGCTTATTTATTGTAATGAGTTGCATTTTAAATACCATTTTGACCATAGAATGAATGTAATGGATAATAAATTCTAAGACACATGAGATGTTCTTAATACTTACGTATTTTACTAAAAGAAAAAGTTTATATAAGGTTGCAATCTTAAAATGTAGAATTATAGATGTACCTTAAAAATCCATTGAAAAAGTTTTAATGTTCAAAAACCATCTAATTGATCATCTCAATAACGAGATGTATGAATATGAAAAAACAAAAAGATTTTGAGTGCAATACATTAACTAGAACGTTCATGTTCAAAATTATCATATGTTTATAGATCTACTTGATTTTAACCATTTTTTGAGTTTAAAATTTATAATTAGATATAAATATAGATTATCTCAATAATCGTAAGAATTTTTTTCACCAAAATTACATGTTATGATCAAATTTGGAGGTGCGCCTTAATTGGATTGTTTAAGGTTCCAACCTTGTAGAAACCACACCCTTTACTAAAATAATGAAAAATTAAGATGCAATACCAATTTTCTTTTTGAAAACCTTAAAAACTAGATTTTTAAGAAATTCTATTAATTTTTAAAAAAAATTTAAATGCCGGCTCCTACTGGTTCGATCGATTCTCCAATTCAAATTGCCGATCTATCGATCTAACACGATTTTTTGGGTAGCTAATCTGATCACCGATCCGTTTTTTTAAACCTTGTGATTGCCCTTTCACACACTGATTTTCCAGAAGGCGTTCTCGCCCAGCTATACATACTCATAAATGAATAATATACTCATAAATGAATAACTTGAGTAATTTGTAGTACACCCAGGAAGAAAAATGGATTTCCAAACCATCGTAATCCTACATTAGATCTACATCTTCCAAGAAAATTAGATTTACATCTTCCAAAAAAAATGTAGAGGTTTGCCTTACTTGTACAAAATGAGGTGGGCATCTCATACGAATTTTACGATGTGTGAAAAAGTTTATTATAAAAGCAAGACGCACCTCAAAAACCCTCCCACAAAAAAGACAATTATGATGTTGGAAAATACTTTGATTGATCATCTCAACTTCGTGATGTACAAGTACAAAAAAATTAAAATTAAAATTGACTTATGTCACATTATCTAAACCGTGCCATGCCCCCAACTCCAGTACTCACAATCGGGCCACATGGCATCATGTCATTGTCCAGATTGCTGAGCGTGTCACCAATGTGTCAATGGAAACTGATGTTCAAGGGAGCAAGTACACCACTTGTCCTGTCATAACAAGCATCAAATGCTCGCAATG